CACTAGAGATAGACAGAGAGACAGACAGAGGGAGAGATAGAAAGACACAGAGAGACTGAGAGAGAGAGACTGAGAGAGAGAGAGAGAGAGACTCAGAGCCTCAGAGCCTCAGAGCCTCAGAGCCTCAGCCACCTTTAGATCCATCAGTGGGTTCGCTCTGCCATCCATGCATCACAAGAATTCACATCTCCTATAGTTTCTTTCCTATCTTTGAAACTTCCGCCACCGCCTTGTGCGGTACTGGTAAAACTATCCTAATGACCATTAGTTAACCACTACATCACCGCTACATCACAATGACATAGCCACAAAATAACCAGTACATAAACTACACAACCGCCACATAACCACTATGGACTATGAACATCTATGAACCAGTATTAATTTGCATTAGCAGCTTTAGGTGGGATCCTCATGGCGCCCTTCGCACAGGTCCCGGAAGGAGCTCCGAGTTCAGCGACAGCCAGCGGTGGTGGAGGCCCGGTCGTTGCAGAGTTGTGGAGACGTCAGTGGATTGATGGTGATTTAAGCAGGAAACAAAAGGGAGTTACGGTGATTTTATGGTGACTTTATGGTGTTTTTAGATCTTATGGTGATTTTGTGGTGATTTATGTAGTAATTCGGATTTAACTAAGGAAAAAGCATGAAACAACAAATTCAACAAGAACAAATTCGGATTTGGCAGGATTAAACTGATTAAACATGATTAGGGAGACGATGTTTTATTTATAACTAGCAAGAAGAATGGGACTTAATTGGTTTAAACATCAAGACTGGGATTGGATTGAACAATCAACACAGGGATATTCAATGGATTCGGCTTGGTTGATTTAGACAAGTTGCAGGAAACCCTGGCTTTCACCATTGAACACGGCTGCAATTTTTCCCGAAATCCAATTTGGGGAGTGTGGGAAGTTGATCAGTCAACGGATCCAAAGGAATGCGGAAACTCAATTCTGAGTCTACCTACGGTGAGGCTCCATGGCCTTTCCAATTCGGATCTATTCTGATGCTCGTAGGTTCTAGTGCACAGAGCTGCCGTATGCACCCCGTTTACCTCGTTTGAGTAGTGGATTTCTTCACTTATGGGAACCCCATGCTGCGTATGCTTCTGACTGTAGCGAATGGGGTTCCGGGTTACTTCTTTGGGGCTCCGGGACCGCCAAAGTGAAGTGATCTGGAGGTGTACAACATCTTGGAGCACGGACGCCACTTCTATCGCTCCTCGTCGCAGGGTAGTGGAGAATCCATTCCTTTTCTCAGGCAAGGTGGTGCCCCCAAGGCAGATGGGTCTTGTTTTACAACCCCCATTAATTATTTTATGTTTAATTAATTTTAATTATTATATATATAAAGATATGTCTACCATAAACTCTAGCCTTTGCAACCATTCCATTCTGGCGCATCCCTGTTCACACAGCCTGACAGACTTCGCCACTACAGAACTTGCTTTGGGAATCGTCATGGCTGCAATCACCGAAGACCCTCCGGAGCCTGATTCCACGATACGTGACAGAGTAGAAAAATGAGAGATGTACCGTTCGTGTGGTTTGCAGACACATGCATGCATCAGATTCTTTATGTCAGGAGTCAACACATTGAGGATATCGTAGGTGGCCCCTTGTAACCCCTGTATGCTTCGCATAGGCTTTCTGCATATTCATTTCATCTTTACATATCAAATTTAAGGATTGGATGGGGTGCCAGATTCATAGTTTTCTGGCCCGTGCGGATTGGCAACAGCCAGCACCACGCTGGTTCCGTTGGTTCGAAGAGCTGAGGAACAATGGTTTTTACCTCGGACACCTCGTGGTCGTTCCACGTGCTGGATGCTTGGGAACGTCCTCAAACAGTTTTTAAGGGCTGATTCCAGAGACAGCTTCGAGATGGATTTTCCTCAACAAACTGCGTTCCACCCAATTCTTTTGTAGGATGATCTAGGATATCAGGATAATGTGCAGTGATCCTACCATAGTGGGCTTCTCAGACCGTGGTTTCCTGTCAAATCTGTATTGATGTTGTCAATTTTCCGGGAAATCCTGCCTTGGAGATGTGGAAAACCTGAAAAATTCAGGCCTTCCGCAGGCCAACGGCTACTGCGCAATGCAGGCGCCATGAGTTTGATCCACACATATCCAAACTGTTCAATGCTGTGGGGCGAAAAAGGGCGGATGTGGTAAACCCACATAGTACCCTCTGGTAATTTAACATAGCTATGGAAAATCACAATTTTTAATGGGAAAATCCACTATAAATGGTGATTTTCCATAGTTATGTTAAATTACCAGAGGGTAAATTTCATTCAAAAATACCACCACATATTAAAACATTTTGAAACATTCCCAAGTGGGCAGCGGCCTTGGCGGTCGCTGAAGCCCACATTGCCCCAGGATCATTTGCTTGGAGCGTGGCGGCGGGTGATGCAGACGCAGCAGCCTGGCGGCCCGGAATCATCGGAATCCTGGGGATTTGTCAAGTTACCCTCTGGTAAACATACAAAAAGCTATTGAACATGGCCATTTATAGTGAGTTTTCCCATTAGACATGGGGATTTTCCATAGTTTTTTGTATGTTTACCAGAGGGGATATCATCAATCTAAGATCATAGATATCCCATAGAATCCTACAGATACCTACTATAGTCTTATAGTAAATTATAGTATGAGTAATATTTAGGTAGTAATCTATCCAATCTGTGCTAAAGTCTCCTTAGACTCCTTGTCGCTACCAAGGTTGGCTCAAGCGCCTCCAACCACTTCAGTGTGCTCGTGTTGCCGCTTGGGTAACGAAGGGTTTGGTGTGCGCCCCTGGGATCCCCATCGGTAGATCGGTAGATCTTCCGGATGATAAATGGACAGCAAGTAACAGGATACAGAAGGAACATAAGTTCTGCTCAGTCATTTTTCTCCGATCTCCTATTTCATTTTTTTCATTTTTTTCCCTTTAACTAACCGCTTGATTTAAAGAAGTCATACTCCTCCCAGGCGCAACTCGCAGATTCACTTGTCAGGGGCGCCCAGGAGTGCGGCTGAATGTGCGAACGTATCCAGAAGCATTTTCTGCACAGCTTCGCTTGGTGGAGAAGTGCCTGTTCATGAATTTGAGAGGATCACATAGTATATTATAATAATGGTAGTAGTAATAACAGTAATAATAATAATGATAATCATATATACGAATATATATATATAGAGTTGTTATTGGCAGGCGGTTGATACGGCGCCCTGTGAGGGTGTGTTGAATTTGGATATCCCCATATTTTTTGTAGACGTCGTATCAACCGGCTGCACGGGGGTGGGGTGGGGTGGGGCATGCTAACGTCATGTACGCTTGCGTAACATGTAACACGCCACGCTACGCTACGTCCATGTGCACTTGCGTCGCACATGTACTGCTATGCTGACCACGTTGCTAACACGTCTGCACGTTGCACGGGGGTGGGGTGGGGTGGGGCATGCTAACGTCATGTACGCTTGCGTAACATGTAACACGCCACGCTACGATACGTCCATGTGCACTTGCGTCGCACATGTACTGCTACGCTGACCACGTTGCTAACACGTCTGCACGTTGCACGGGGGTGGGGTGGGGTGGGGCATGCTAACGTCATGTACGCTTGCGTAACATGTAACACGCCACGCTACGCTACGTCCATGTGCACTTGCGTTGCACATGTACTGCTACGCTGACCACGTTGCTAACACGTCTGCACGTTGCACGGGGGTGGGGTGGGGTGGGGCATGCTAACGTCATGTACGCTTGCGTAACATGTAACACGCCACGCTACGCTACGTCCATGTGCACTTGCGTCGCACATGTACTGCTACGCTGACCACGTTGCTAACGCGTCTGCACGTTGCACGGGGGTGGGGTGGGGTGGGGTGGGGCATGCTAACGTCATGTACGCTTGCGTAACATGTAACACGCTACGCTACGCTACGCTAGGCTACGTCCATGTGCACTTGCGTCGCACATGTACTGCTACGCTGACCACGTTGCTAACACGTCTGCACGTTGCACGGGGGTGGGGTGGGGTGGGGTGGGGTGGGGCATGCGACACCTTGTGGCGTTGAGTGAAAAAGATGCTGTCCGCAAGTTGTTCACATTATACAGACTCCAAAAAAAAGGGATTTTTTCCCATTTTTTTTTGGACATCCGGATGTCAAAAATGAGCGTTTCGTTGAGGCGAAACGCACATTTTCAAATCACACCAAATGAAAACCTCAAAAATCAAATGTTTTTTTTCTCGCCCCTGATGACTAAAATTAGTATTTCGTTGAGGAGAAACACCAATTTCCACTTTGGAGTCATGCGCCTGCCATCGGAAAATGATCATGACTTTGAAATGTCCTTTTACAAAGACCCACAAATACCACGCTTCCAGCTTTTGACGTGAAAATCTTAAAATCAAAATCGGCAACCCCTCACAGGGCGCCGTATCAACCGCCTACCTTGTTATTTGACTTGCCTTGGCCATCACTCGTTCCCAAGTCAATTCTAGAGACCTCAGATTTCCCCAGAAATCCGCCGAGTACTACGAGATTTTCCTCCCAAGGCCTCGTCGCTTCTTGCGTGGACTATTGCCAGATGCCTTGCTGGAAAGCTCAGTTCGCCGGGGTTGCTTTTACTGGGAACATCTGGGAACCCTTTTTACCCACGAAAAGTATCGAAAAGTTCCATCCTTTTGCCATGGTGATCATCTAACCATGGTGATTTTCCAGGTGATTTTCAACCAACAGGTATGATACTAACAAGAATATCAATCATCTAACCATGGTGATTTTCCAGGTCATAAAAAAAAACAAAACTGTAAAATTACCTGAGGCGAATTACACCAACCCGGGCGTGTGAGGTTGCAGCGCTACCGCTTCTGGCGCTGTCGTGGTTCAAACTCTGCTGGCAAGGGAGGCCGGCAGCAACCCCCCTTGGTTGGGAAAAAATGCTTTGGCAAGGGTAGCTTAAATATTGCAATTTCTGGCCAAAACTGGAGTTACGATTGTTGATACTGAGCTCCAACAATCTGAAAAATGAAGATTCGCCATGTCAGTTCTGGTCGCCGCTGTAGGCGTGGGCGAGATTGAGGGGGAGGAAGTCATACCCAGCAAAGACGAAGCCACCAGCCGCTCTTTTCTGCAACCTGGGGATGACTTGAGATGGCTGGGATATAATAAGAATATGTAGGGGATCATGTAATATGATATCACATAATAATGGAGATATTCTGGGGATATTCAATTATGGGGATGTTTTTAATGATATATATTCTGGGGATATTCAATTATGGGGATGTTTTTAATGATATATATATAATTAATAGGATATTATGGGGATGTGGGAATGTAATAGTATAGAATCGGGATATTCTGGGGATGCAATATGACATCATACATAATATTATTATGGGGATATTGTGGGATGTAATATGATAGAATTGGGATACTGTACGATGGGGACATAGTATGATACAATGGGGATATGATGGGGATACATGAGTCAACCAGCAATATGATACTTGGGTGTCTCTGAACATTGGGTAGACGGTATGCCATTACTCCAACATGGCGGTAAGCTATAGCTGTTGCTTTACTTTGCATATCATCCAAGTACTACTCAACTGCTTACAAGCCAAGCAGGACAGTTCAGTTTCTTGCACAATTTGACGATGTATGTCCACAGTACCAAGACTACTTCCCATTACTTTTTTCCAATCCTTTAAAAAATCGCTGCATGTCGCAAAAACTTCTTCCAATTCAGCAGAAAGTTACCCTCTGGTAAACTAACATAGCTATGGAAAATGACCATTTTTAATGGGAAAACTCACTATAAATGGCCATTTTCAATAGCTACGTTAAATTACCAGAGGGTAGCACCCTCCTGGTGGCCCACCAGCAGTGCATCCCAGGTCTCCGAATTCAGCTGATGCGTGCGGCTGAGGGTACCACTGCACGAGTCGAGTGGGGCGGCCCAGGGTCGTTACCATTTCCGCCGTTTGCAGATATACCATGGCCTGACCATGGCATACCCAAGTTTCAGACACACCCAAATATCAGATGCTTGTTTAAATATGTTTAAATTATATCCCATTTGATTCCCATAAAATCCTCTTATATATATATATTCCATTTGATTCCCATAAAATCCTCTATTCTTTTTTGTCCTATTTTTTGTCCTTAAATCCTTCATGGAATCCACTTAAATGCCACTAATTCCCATTAGATTCCCTTTAAATCACACCATAAAAATCGCCATAAAAACGCAATTCTTCAAGTCCCCGCTCCAGGCGGCGCCCTGTGGAGGAGCCGAACGCTGCGCAGAGGGCCCAGAAGCTGATGGCCTAGATTGAGTAGATTAGATTCATGTGGGAAGAATGTCATGTTTACCAAGTTTACCATCCCCCAGTCGGAAAACCATTTTTATAGGTGGTATGGGATCCATTCCCAGGAAAATGGGTGGTTTCTTATTGTTTTACCCACATTTGATTAGATTAGATCAGACCCGATTTGATTCGATAGATAGACTAATGGAGGAAGAACCAGATAGATAGATATAGAAAGGTAGATAGACGGATGGACGGATAGATGGACAGATGAATAGGTGGATAGACGGATAGGAAAAAATAAGTGGATAGTTACATGGACAGACGGATAGATGGACAGATGGATATACGGATAGACAAATAGATAGAGAGAGAGAGAGATAGGTAGATAGGAGGACAGATGGATAGTTGGAGTGATAGATGGATAGATAGGTTGCAGATTGACGAATAGATAGAGAGATTGATGTTCATGCACACGCGTATGTGTAATTGCCTGTCCTCTTTCTGACTGGCCTAGTAATGCATAGCATGGGAAGAGTGAAAGAGTCTCCCTGCAGTCTGCTTGCTGCTTGGTTTGCGATTTTCACGTTCTCCTTCACTTTACTTCCATGTAAGTCGTGTATGGTCCATATCTAAAGCCCTGGAGCATTGAACAAAGGACATCCATGACATTCCGACGTCCAAGGCCAGAAGTCTTGGTGAATCTCCGCCTGGCAGCTCAGTTGGACCTGCCGCCGGGACTTTTTCGGAAAAAACATGTCCCGCCTGAGGACAGGGAAACGGACTGACCAAGATTTTGGCCAGGCGCAGCTACCATGATCGGTGAAGCGGATGACGGCATATTTTCACATGTAGACTCTCTCTCCATATTGAGTATATCAAGTTTCACTGCAACATATGTAAACTCGCTGAAGGAAAAATCTTTCAGACAAGTGTCGGCAAACTCTTCGATAATCTGGCAACTGACCCTTCGAAACCCGGTTCATGAATGTCCATGACAGGCTGGAGAATCTGTCGCATATTTTGGTGTGGGTAGACAGCTCAGAAGCGCGGTATGGATAGGGCGGTCAGTAGAGGTCAGAGATTACAGTATTACACCTCTTCCAACGGAGGTTGAACAAGTCTCAGGCATCAAAACCAGGACATATGTCTAGCTTTGTCTGAAAATAAGGCACCCCAAAATTTGAGGATGGTTAATAATCCTTTTCCCCATGAAAAGTGCATTTTTTTTGATACCCCTCATCCATTTTCAGAGGAACCAAACACAAAAATCCAATGCAGTTGACCATCATTTTTGTTTTGTTGGATGCCCCACACTACATGGCAAGTTTTCGAGATCTATTCCCCATTCTTGGACCAACTTTCAGCTTTTCCAAGGCCGGTCTCAGCTTGCGGGTCGAACTGCCTCGCCTCCGATTGCCCGGCTCTGAGATGATCCGAAGCGGTCGGATTGATGTGAGACCCCAGTTTATGAAACGGGGCACCTACCCTCTGGTAATTTAACATAGCTATTGAAAATGGCAATTTATAGTGAGTTTTCCCATGAAAAATCCATAGTTATGTTAGTTTACCAGAGGGCCCCTTCCATATTAAATACCGATGGCAGGGGATCCTCCCCCTAATCTCAAAATAGATGAAATACAAGCCATCAACGGTGTAGTAGGGGATTCACATATATTTGGGACCATACGATGAGGGTGTTTAAAATTTGGGGGTTAGTAATATGAATTTGGAAAACTGTTGGGCATCCCCAAATAATAGTCAGGTTTCCAAATGTCCGGGGACGGAGGTTGTGCCAGATTGTGTGAAAGAGGTAGTCAGTCAGAGGACAGTCATGGAGAGTCTATTTACGTGAAGTGTCTTGTTCAGCCTTATCACACACACACAAAATAAACAACAAGTGTAGAATCTGGAGATGGGGCATGTGCATTTCCATCGAGTTTTTCCAGCAGATGTGACAGGGCGAAAAGTTTTTTTTTTGTATGCCATGATTGGATTCCCATTATAGGTTGGATGACCATAAGCCGGAGCCCCCAGGCAGCTTTTTCGCATTGGCATGCTGCAATTTGCCAAGGTCTTTCACAGCCCAGAAACAGAGGCTGGAGCCAATCAACCCGAGCTGGGAAACGCGATATGAAAACCAAGGATCTAGTGGAAACTCAATGAACATCATGGCCCATCATGGCTCACGACTCGGAGAATTTGGAACACCAAAATCCCATAAAATCCCATCAAATCCCATGGTTTATCCTCATTTTTCCATATTTTTCCATCAAAAATTGCAGATTTGGGGAAGGCACCCCTCCCCTTTCTATCCTTTCTGGGCAAATCCAAGTGGTGCTCTCGCAGGTTGTACTGTGACCAGCATCGAGGCTTCTGGTTGGCGGTGTCCCGGCGGCATAGCTGATGAGTGGCTTGAAGATAGCCTCTGTTGATTACCTTTGAGATCCTTTGAGTGAGAATTTACGACCCCAGGATGGCGCATTGGAGACTCAAGCAGAGACCTGCCTGGGGCCCAACCCTGGCAGCCTGGCTGTTCACATGAAAATTCCCGGAGAAACAAATCCCAGCGGAATTGTTACTGTCCGCAGGTTCAATCGTTTTTTCCGCTACAGCGAAACATCAATTTGTTTGTTTTCAACATGGATCAAATTGGGGCCTCCGGAAGATCCCGGACCTGGATATGTAACTTGGATTAACTTTGTGCATGGTTGAGAACATCATTTCCCCATATTTTCCCCATCAATGGCGGGAAAGTCGCCGTAGATCATGACAAATCCCATGGTAAATCCCCAAGTGTTGGACAAACCTGGCAGGGAGACGCTGCACAGATGATTCCGGACACCTCCTGATCAGTTAGGTTTCCAGGTATTCATAACTGGTTGGTGGTTTCAAACATTTTTTTTTCCCATAATATATGGGATAATCCTTCCCATTTGACTAATATTTTGCAAGATGGTTAAAACCACCAACCAGATAATCTCTGTATCTTCTGAATTCTTCTGACCAGAAGGGCCCTGGCTGAAAGACAGAAGTGGAATCGTCTGTCTTCTTTGAGTGGGCAGGGCCAAGAACTGAAATTCCTCCATTTTCCGCGACGCGTTTTCCCAGGTGAAGGGAGCATGGTTGGGAGCCCCGCAAATCCCGTCACCGTTTCCTGCGGCTTTCAGCCAGCCAGAAATGGCCCACAGATTCAAAGCCCTGAAATGCACAAGATTCGAGGCAATTGACTCTGTAGAAGTAGCATAAGGGGAAGCAAAATCAATAATTATATATGGTATATATTATTGCCCTTTTGTTGGGTGCAATTTGGGTGTAAACTTAAACTCCTGCAGTTCTCTACACCATTTCAGATCCAAGCGTCCGTAGTGGAAAGCACTGAGGGCATCTCGGTGGAAGACCTGCTGGCACAGTGGGGTGTGGGGCCCAGAACCATGGGTTCGCGCACATCAAGAATACCGGCTAAACCTGGCTATATAAGTTTCAAGAAGAGAAGTTATATGATGGAGTTGCACCAAAAGTATGGCAATTATTACTATGATTATATTAGGTTATATGATGTATGGCAATTCTACAGTTGGAGTTGCACCAAGTTGGAGTTGTGCCAGTGGTTTTTTGGCCCATGGTTGTAGCGTGAATGCTTGTGGCCAGGAATGAACCAGCAGAATCAGCGATTTCTTTCTATATGGGGAAGAACAGACAAAGCACTGCCACCCTAAAATATAAAGAGTAAAACAAAAATCAGGAAATCTGATGGGTTCGATATCCTTCTCAAATTTGAATACATCACATACCCTCCGGTAATTGACCAGTTTGCTGCAGGCGGCGGCGCCGCAAGACACTCAGATATTGCAATGTTGACCCTGGATCCCACTGAGAAAAGCAAGGGAAAATCGGTGCAGGAGCCAGGATCTCATCACAGATATCACAGGATTTTTTTTGTCAGAAAATGGAGATCCCCCAAATGGCAATTATAAGAGGAAAATAAGGAGATAATTCCATGTCTCACATGGCTTTAAAGAACCGGTACAGATAGGGTGGACACCTTGCATCATTTTGCAAACCTTGATGCAGCACCATTTAAGATCGAGAAATCGGTAGCGTGTACCGTACTGCAGCAAGGTCCATGCTGCGGATTGCCAACTTCGTAACATATGTTTTCTTGTTTAGATTATATAGCATTAGTAAACATGCATATGCGCGCACACATACACATATATCATTATATATATATTATATCATAATATATATATATATACATATGCACATTTTATACATGTCATAACCTCAGTAATTAGATAGAAAAGTGATTGACCGCTATTTTTGCTTCGGATTTTACTGTTCTATTCGGGGGTTGCTATACTTAGCAACCATAGTTATACCATGTTATACCGACTTATATTATTACCAGGTAAAATGCCAACTTTTATGGCTACTCACTCGGAGGGTCCAGGTACTGGAATCAATATGGTTTTGTCTGAAAAATTCAGGGGAACAGCTTGTGACTATGGATACAAACAGACGGATATATATATATTTATATGGATGTCTTAGATCCAATGGATATAGGATATTCTCTAGCTAAGGTAGCGAACTGTAATATCACCATTTTCAAGTTCGGTAAATCATAATTTTTATCATCGAACTAAATGGGCCATGGCTTCCAAAGCAAACTGTTAAATAACCGAAGGGTATATACATGCATATAAATATAGATGTAACATGTTCAATTATTTCCAGGATATCTCAAAGTTATCTTACCAGTGTCATTTGATCCATACATATCTCATCATATCTCTCTCTCTCTATATATATATACATACATATACATATATACAGTATATACATATATAATTATATACGTATATATATATATATATATATATGTTTGTAGGATATGTATAATGTACATAGATCGAGAGTTGCCTTCACATGTCGTGCTGTCTGAATCTGCGCATCTTTGCTGATGCACTCCGCAGCTGCTTTTTTCCTCGGCGGCTCGACTTTTTTCAATGGGAATCTAAGGGATCGACTGTCAGCAATGGCGAACTTTGGATGGGAAAATGGGCACCGCAAAGTAACTATTTCAATGGGAACAGATGAGAATCCGAATCCTTTGGAATAGGAGTACACTAATTTCAGGCAAACTCAAGTTGGTGTTTACCGTCCGGTGGCTAGGAGGCAGCTTCTAGGAGCTATGGCAGCCGGATTCCCAATATAAGGATAGCCAAGGAGCTACGAATCGAGTTTCCCAACCACCTTCTAGATGTGTATAATGGTATCAGAGATGTGTGTACAGTGTACATATTTTATGAAACACAGTTTGAAAATATGGGGGCAAACAAATACACCAATTGCCAGATAGAACGTATACCACTCATAGGAATGGGGGTTCACGTTCTGTGAAACGAAACGGAGACATAATGTAGAAACATATGGGAATAAAACTATGCAGATGATCTGAACTCATATTTTCCAGATGGAAATTCCCAACAGCAGTGCAGATGTTGCTGTGGTGCTCCCAAGCTGGGCTAATGTTTTTTTTTTTTTTTAAATCTTCACATGTACAATATAATGATATAGTTTATGACTAGATTCATCATATTATTCTAGTTGGTGGTTTGGAACATCAATTTTATTTTCCAGAATATATGGGAGTATAATCATCCCAACTGACTTTCATATTTTTGGATAATACTTCCCATTGACTCTAATATTTTTCATTATTTTTCAAGATGGTTAAAAAAAACCACCAACCAGATAATAATAATAATATCCACAGAATCAATCATTCTTCAAGGCGGTTGAGGTCCCTTGAGGTCCCCTTGACCGTCTGCAAAGTCCTCGCATCGCCCGACACGTCCAGGACTTCTCGCTGTCGAGTGGAGCTGCTGGAAGAGCCTTGGCGGATGCGGTGGGATGCGGCAAACCAACCGCACCAGATGGGGATATTTGATGGTATAATGGAAGGGATGTAATCCCTCAAAAGTACAGTAATAAAATGTAATAAATATAAATTGAGGCCATAACATTGGTGGCAAATCTTGACCTTCAATTGGATCTGTCGAGCAAAGCATTCGGCATGGCTTTGGTTCCAAGATGTTGCAGCTTAACGGGGCAGTGAGTATATTGACAGCCTTAACTTCCTGGAAACAAACAATTTTCTTCAACAAGTTCCTGCATTCTTCAATCAGACCAATTTGCGCCACTTGTCTGACTATTGCAAATCCTTTGCCCTTGAAATTTGGTTTTCGCAAAGATGTCCATTATTGTCCATTGGTACATCTACCTTTTCCATCCTTTTGCCATATTTTGCCATTAAGAGTGACACATTTTACACCGGTCGGCGCCAAGGGCGTGTGCATGGGACGAGACAAGTGGTTAGGCGGCGAGCTGGGCGAGGATGGCAATGTCTATGGCATTCCAGGCGCGACTCGTTGGAGCAGAAAATCCTACGAAGGGAATACCCGGCCTGGTAAACATACAAAAAACTATGGAAAGATCCACCATTTTTAATGGGAAAATCCACTATAAATTGCAATTTTCAATAGCTATGTTAAATTTTGTTGGACTTCACATTTAATGGCAGGGTTTCCATTTTTGTTTCCTGCTTAGAAAACATAAATTTTACCGGCTAAATCTCCATGTCATCGGCAAAAAATCCACATGTTGCGCCCCGATTTCGCCTTGTTTTTTCGCAGGAAGTGCCTCGCGGGTGTTGAAGATTGTGCCCAGCACGGATGAGGTGGAACTGACTGGACCTGAGATGCTTAGATGCATTGAATCTGGGTTTTTGTGGTGATTTAGTAATTCAGGGATTTGAAAGGATCTTACATAAAAAAATTAAGATTTTACATGCTTTTACCATCAACAAAAGGAATTTGACCATCGAAACTAGGGACTTTGACTCTAACCATCAAAATCCTGGATTTTTGCCATCAACATGGCGATTCAACCACAAAAAATGGCGGCTTCACCTTCGAACATGGGGATGGTTGGTTTGTAGATATCGGACATGGGGATTTGACTTGAACATCTGGGGACTTAAATGGAGATTGAAGAATCAACAGCTTTATCTTCCATGGATTGGGCTATTCTGCGAATGGATCATTTTCTGAGACGTAGCCATAAAATGTGGCCTGTCATTGACAGGGATATACAGGGGATATCCTGACGTTTGATGGGATATATTACCAATTAGTAACACACATCAACAATATGATATTTGGATTTGTCTCAAAATGCCGGCTTTAATTCAATGTGTGGCAATTTCAATGGAAAAACACAGAGTTTCAAGGTTGGAGGCTTCCGATTTTGAGACAAACCCAAGGCCGTTGCCTCGGATGGCCCCTTTCCGTGAGACAATCCGCCAAGAGGGGGGGAAACATCGCGGAATGGCACGATGGTCACTGCTACGCTACACATGGCATATGGCTGGATTGTTTGTAAATGTGTATATCTATCTATCTATCTATCTATCTATATAATATATATATACATATATATATACATATATATATATATATACATACATATATTGCACTTGATACCATTTTTGTTCCATGATCTGCTTGTATGAATGGTTCCTTTCGGAGAGGCAAAGCCACTTGCAGGGAACGAATCTCCAGAACCAGACCCCAACTTGTCACAGCTTGGATTTCGATCTTTTTTGTATGTTGCCTAGGAAAAACTTCGTGGTGCCCAATGAGTAAGCGGGCTATCACCCGAAACACCCAAACAGAAGTGGACCCCACTTGAACTACTTATAGCTGGGTTTCTAATCCGCTCGCTAGCTGGGGTGAACATGGGTAAACCACAAAGTACTATTGCCATCTATTGCCATATTTTAATCTTGCACGCCTAGTCTCCCTCTGTTCTTCCATTCGTGCTGTGGGGAACCAATCGTATTTGCACCCTTTGAAAGGAGAAAATTCTGAGTCGTAACTTGCATATACGCCGTTTGATCCCATTTTGAGGTGTCTGTGGAGTCATGAAAGATGCAATTTGCCTATGTATTCACAGGTACACATAAATGGCTATTAATTACAAATATAACACACACATACATATAATATATATATATATATATATGTGTGTGTGTGTCTATGTAATATATATATATATTTATTTATTTATTTATCATATTTATCATGCGTGCGTGCGTATGTATGCGAGAATGTGTATCAGATTCTCAGATAATCTCCTTTTTCCTTCCTATGCCTATGTATGATTAAAGAACATGTCCACTAAATTTCGCACGTTCATATGTTACACAGCTATTGGATGGCACAACCACAAATCCAAGGATGCTTGGGAAGTTCAAGAGCCTCGACAGCAAACTCTGGCCATGGTTGAAGTTGGCTTCCCACAGGAATCTCCTTGATCACAACTGACGATGTTTCTGCGCTTTTGGGTGTGATATCAATGTGTCATGGGGTGGTTCAAACCCGGACAGCAGAATAGCTGGCATGGATGTTCACCCAGTTCACCCCCAGCAAATATATGCAAATATGGCATGAGCATATACTGGTCCAATAGTTTTCGACCCATCCTGGTTTATTGTGATGCTCCTTGGATATATGTATACGCCATACGTTTTTGTATATATCTATATTTACGCATATTCTCTATATTCTCCGTTGATTCACAATAGCTATGGGAAATCACCATGTTCAATCGGCAAATCGAACTTAGCCATGGCCATGGCTTCCATTGGCTTCCATAGCCATCGCTAGCCTAGATTCTTCTGTGAGAACAGGTAGGCTCATCACAGGGGTGTTCATCACCACCATCAAGAAATTAATACAAATTAAAAAAAACAGATCATTAGATTTCATTGGAAATATTCGGATGAATTGGGCAGTTCACAGATGCCAACTATATTATTTTCAATATTTTTCTAGTTTTCACATTCTTTTTTGTTGTAATTTTTCATGCTTAAAAAAAAAAACAACATAATTTTGGCTCTTGCAGAGTCTATGACTGATGAGCTACCCTCCGATGGGGTACCCGCACCCGGTTGCTTCGCCAGTGAGGTGGTTGCGCGGCATCGTGGTGGATGATTACATCTATGGAGCCGTTTGGATCGGGCGATGACCTGTTTCTCCAAAGTTATTGTAGACTTTCCCAGCACCCATGGGGTAAACCTATGGGGTAAACCTATGGGGTAAACCTATGGGGTAAACCTATGGGGTAAACCTATGGGGTAAACCTATGGGGTAAACCTATGGGGTAAACCTATGGGCTATATGTTGGGCATATATTGTACATGTTCCATATGTTCCATTTTAAGTAGGTCTGAAAAACAAAAAAGTGACTGGATGAACGAACCACGCGATTTGGGACGATGGCAGTCCCATCCTGGCGGGCGATAAACTGAGTTGAAGAAGCCTGGTTATCGTAAGTCCCCCAAGTGGGTCATCTCATTTGTAAATAGGATATAACTATGGTTGGGGAAAAAATAAAAACCCATTGAAATAGTGAAAACGTATCTACTTTTCATTACTTTTCCTTTTTTTTTGGAGGGTATGGGGGGATCCTCCATGATCTCGAGCGCCAGGAGTGCCTACCAACTGCCCACAGGTCTTGCAGATCAGTTGCTGCACAGGGCAAGTGGACTTGGTGGGTCCAGTCTTTAAAGGAGATTGGAGTCCTGGCAAATCATGCTCCGGGAAGCGATGCCCCAGTTCGTTCGCCACGTTGGTTTTTTCAGGAACTTTGTAACTCTGTGCGCACATGTATATATATTATATATATATATACACATATATTATTTTTGTAGTAGATCTATCTATCGATCTATCGATCTATCGATCTATCTATCAATTGACCTCTCTCTCTCTATCTATCTCTCTATCTTTCTATGTCTCTATCTTTATCTCTATCTCTATCTATCTCTATCTGTCTCAATCTGTCCTAATTTATCTCTATATCTATCTCTATCCATCCATCTATTTGTCCGTCTCTTTGTGTGTATATATATATATATACATATACATCTATAGTCACAAGAAAGAGTCAGACATCTATATCTATAGTTGTTGTATATCTCTTCTCTCTCTCTCTCTCTCTCTCTCCCTCCCTCTCTCTCTCTCTCTCCATCTATGTCTATATCTATGTAAATAGTTAATGCGGATTATAAACCAAGAAACATCACTGTGCGTCACCACCTTGCAAATGCTGAACATGTGGAAGCAGGGGAACTGGGAGATGGGGTAAGAACCAACCCATTTGAGGTGGTAATCGTTGTAATTTTTGGTGGTTGATAAGCCCTCGGTAAAAGCCATTGGTTGTTGGAATCCCATCTTTGAGCTCATGTCAACCAACGGCTGTCCACTGTGAGATATTGTGAGTTTGATGAAAACGTGATTGGATGACATTCACCTGCCATCATATCTGGCTGCAAAATCAAAGGAAATGGCATGGTGGGGTGTTCTGCCCTGAAGATCGCTGCATCTATGCCATTCCCTGCAATGCAGAGTCGGTTCCTGGATGCATAGGATGGATGGTGATGGGGTCCAGTTCCATGGCCATTTCTGGCGGCAAACAGGTCACCATGTAATACGGCGTGTTCGGGGTGTGCATTTATCCATGGGTTTGGAGAAACGCAGGTGCATGACACAGACACATCATGTCATTATCATTTTAATCTTTTATGTATATATATAATTTATATAAGTATTACATTGTTATGAGATGTTATGATCATTTTGTTATTGATTTCCTGGTTATTTTGTACGATCCAAACAGGGGGAGTCCTCATGGAAACTTGGAAACCGTGAGCCCTGAACCATTGCCTTACTGCTGTTGGGTTACAAAGCTGAGAGAATATTTGCCCCAAAACAACCAACAAATCGACCATGCCAAAAATGGGGGGATGACAATAATCTCCATTAGATATCATTAGTATACCAATCATCCATGTTAAATCGATAATCCATAGACACATCCATCAACAAATCCATCAAAAAATAGTTAATTTCCACTAAATTTCACTAAAATCAATCAACATCAAATTAACATTCACAAAAAAAACACCATCAAAGCCTTAAAAAAATAACTCCAATTTTCGGCACAGGACCATCCAAAACATTCCAAACCCACCCGTTTCGAGGTGCTGAAAATCTCCTGCTGCCAGAGCGGGGCCGAAGTCAGCACCATCGCAGCAGGATCTCCAGCCCTCAAAGGACGAGCTGCTCGGATCCGCTGGGGCCCTTTTGGATTTTCATCGCAGAAATGGCGATGGCTGGAGGTGGATTTAAGCATGTTTAACATGATCAAAAACCATCAACAGTTATAGGGATTTGATGTGATTTAATGGAATAGAATAGATCATCAAACATGGCTAGCTGGGAAATCAATGGAAATCACATATATACAATTATATACATGGAGGTTTATAGCTGGGACAAGTATCTGTAAACGTGGGATTTTCGATTTCCATGATGTTTGAAGATACAATAATCTGGCAAACCCAATGCCATAAACCATCTAAAGAAACCCATCAATAGACATCAGCATACCTCCGGGGGATGGTCATCCCATGTCATTCTCTTGTCTCGGTTCCACGATGAAATCCAACGGGAACATTGGAGGCGACATGTTTTATGCCTCAAATCCAGGATGAAAGGAAAACGGAAACGAAAACATGGGATCTGTATCGGGAAGACCAGTCATGATATTTCATGATACTTTTTCCCAACAGCAATACTGCTGGGTTTCAATCTCTGGGTCTGGGAGTGTGGGGCCGGTTTTGTCGGCCCTTAAAACTGGAACGGAACCCTGGAAGCCTGGAACCCTGGAACCTGCTGTTGGGTTGCAAAGCTGGGCGAATTGTGAGCTTATGAATGGGATTAGGAATAATTAAACTTATTAATTGAACCAACCGGTCTATAGGGATATTCGATGGAGATGCAACCAACAATACGACATGGGCAAGCCCCCCAGAAACGGGAGATTGAAACCACATTCGTGCAGCCCAGACTGCAAAATGGAACGCAATTTCCCAGTTATCCATGTTTGATTGCCAGGCGGCATCCTCTATTTCTGTAACAAAGCCCATTTGGGTTTGTCTGAAAATGGGGTATGCCCATAAATTAGCAGTTTTTATCGGGCAAACTATATAAGATTAATTATTATATATCATTACTATATATTATTAATTATTGACTATAGGTTTGGGGTACCTCATTTTCAGACACACCATCATTTCGTCTCCCCAGTTGGATCTGACAGCGTGCCCAGTGCAAGTGGTACGGTGGTCTGCTGGGCGATGATGGCTGCATCTATGGTATTCCAAACTGCGCTGAATCGGTGACCTGTCGAAGCTGGAACGTTGGTGAAAATCAGGGTCTAAGTTGGTCTAAGTTCGTCTAAGGGATGGGGTCTATGGTCTAAGCTAGTCTAAGTTGTTGTTTTTTTTAAATCCATATTAACCATATATTAACCATATATAAACATTTTTTTTTTTTTGGGGGGTCTTTTTTTTTTTTGTTTTGGGGTTTGCGGGGAGAGATGACTTTTGCATCACCTGGCACCTAACACGACGCCAGGTGTTGAAGATCGACCCGCGATTGCAGGTAGGGCCCATGCGGCATGTCGGGATGCCCTGAAACACAACGACTAGTAATGGAGTCCGAAAAATGCCATGGATGTAACCTATCAATACCTATCAGGTATCATCATTTCTGGTGATTTTGCCAGATTTATCTATAATTATTTGAATTTGTATCCAAATCTATGCAAATTTCATGAGGAAGATGATCAATCGGCTATCAGTCCATTTTTTGGGGGCACATTTTTCCACCGGGGAAGGACGTTCAAACCATCGGGCCCAAGTTTGGTGATGGTGGACAGCGACTCGGAGCTGGAGATGCTGTGGATTCGGTGTGAGGGGTGTGGATTTACCAGCATGTTTCATAATTCTAAACTATTTATAGATTCTTTGGCACAAGTTACTGCAACAATAATTTACAAATCATTTATAGTGATTCAATGTCATTATGAAATAGTTAGATATACGTTTCAAACTATTTTCCTATAAGCAGTATTATATAACACATTCATTTTCTTCATTGCAATGTTTTACTACCGAAGGGTACCTGAAAATTGGTCTAGCAAAAACACATTTCAGATTCTCACCATGTTTGCTGCATAAAATAGCCTTTGGGGCATTTGGGGTAAATCCTCTGGGCAGAGCCATGTTCCAATTCTTGCCAGATCCTGCACGAAGGTGAAACCACATTTTGTAAGGGGGTTGGGTTAGCTGCTTAGCTAGTGACTTTGAGCACATGAGAGATGATTTCCGGTGAACAGTACTTTTCTATACTTTTCTAATATGTTCCAATATTGAAAGTATAAGTGATCGGTTGGTAAAGAAACCCTGGGACATACACTCCAAAGTCATCGAGGAAATGGCACGGAGGCGTGGTCGGAAAGGACCGCAGACCCAAAACACCTGTTGGTTGATGATTGATTCGGGGATATACTATGCTTATCTATGCTTGATATATTGGGTTTGTTTGAAAATGGCAGCCCCCAAAATTTCATGAGTTGAATCATGATTCATATTGATTCATCAAATTTTCCACCTGAAAAGGCATATCAAATTTTGGTGGCATTCCGATCCATTTTGCAAAGCCATATGCTAGGATTATCATCCAGGATTCCATGAGCAATTCCGCTCAAAAAACCAAGCTGTGCATGGAATGATAGAGGAATTTGACAATTTGAAGATAATGTAACTGGTTTGCGGAAAAATGCTTGCAACTAACAGAACATTCAAGAATTGATGGTCATTCACCAGGACGGCTGTATCTATGGCATCCCTTCTCATGCTGACGTCGCTGGACTGAATTGGCGATGGTCAAAGCGAGAGGGAAGACTCTTTCAATATCTTTCAATAAAATCAATAAACACCACCGGTTATGGCACTTAATTACTGTAATTCATGAATCATCCCTAATTGTCTACCATTTGGGACTATTGACTATGGGCCCTTGGAATTCATCATTCCGTTTGTTGAGGTGTAATTTTAATAATCAAGTTCATCAAGCGCAACTTGGGGATGGTTTACTGAGCTTCCCATCTCATGACCCAGTCTGATCCTCCAGTTGTCCCTGGATTCCGGAGGTGGTCTTGAAGATTGAACCGCACAGTGGTGCAGTGCGCACCATTGGAAAAAGCATCGAAAGTGGCCACTTGACCCAGTTGCTGGCGTCGCAGTGGAAACTGGTTCCACTGTCTTCCACTGGTTACCCTCTGGTAATTTAACGTAGCTATTGAAAATGACCATTAATAGTGGATTTTCCCATTAAAAATGGTGGATCTTTCCATAGCTATGTTAGTTTACCAGAGGGTATGTGGGTTTATATGACCGTGGTATACCGTGATGGGTTAGCACTGCGATAAGTTGGGTGATCTCCCAAGGTTGGAATTCGGGCAACGGGTGGGTTTATTCATTGGAGAGACGCTTGGCCCATGACGGGCAGGGATTCACATGCATCTCTTCTCACTCTCTTTCCCTTTGAGATGTGTACGTACAATTGTATCATATATGTATAGACATTATGTATGTGTGTGATATATACACGTAATTGAATTATCCACACATATTTAATAATTGTTATATTATGTCACACATGTATATCATGTCCCCAAAATGATGATTATATGCACGTTCCATTCCATTGTGCATGGAACGCCCACTGCGAAAAAAAAATGGTTGCACCAAGCCAATCCTGAGCAGGCAAGTGGCGTCCAAATGGGAAGTACAAATATGGTGGCGGCGTTGTGGCGGATGATGGCACCATCTATTGCTTTCCAAGTGATGTGGAAAGCTGAGCATGCTGAGCGGAGTTTTTTTTTGAGCGGATTGTTGGTGATTTGAAAAAACGTGACAAAGCACGCCCCCCCAAGAAAAAGGAAGGTAAACAGGTTCCAAAATCACGGCAATTAAATTACTTTTCAATTTTTCTGGCGGGTGCTAGAATGGAACTGATATGGGATTGAATTCGCACTTTTGACAATGGCCCACTCAGCAGAGGCTGACTATGTTTTGAAGATTCAGCCAGAGACCGAAGATTCTTATCTCTGACTCATCACAGCTGTGCAGATGACTCCGTAGGGTGACCAACATAGCCATGGAAGGCCCTCAAAAATGGTCGCCAATGGAAGCCATAGCCCATAGAAATAGATGGTTTACCTGGGTTTACCTATTAAAAGTGGGTGGATTTTCCATGGCTATGTTAAATAACCAGATGGTAGCTGGGCATTAGAGAAGTAACATAGATTAAGCACATGAATGGTCATGTCGTGGTCATGTCGTGGTCTGGTCATGAACAAATGTGAACAAACACTCAGGTTGCCATAGTATTATTATGTAGATATAAGCATATATAAGCCATATATAATACCAGTTACTACTGTATTGGTAAATTAAATGATAATGATTTGACTGTGACGTCGCTGTAATCAGTTATGGTTGGTACATGTTACTGCAATACGTTTACAAGTTGATTCATAAATCCCATCAGTTGGTTCAACTTAGTTCGATCAATCTACCATGAACAATAGTATATATTTACACATATATAGTTATAAGTTATAAGTTATAAGCCAACTTAGCTACCTAGGGGGCATATCCCTAGGGTATATTACCCCTAAAGAATAGATATTAATAGAACTTGTATATATGAATATAGTAATACCGCTAATATCACTATCACTAAAATGATGTATATATATATTTAGAGTATATACATATAGTACGACAAATATATAACATTTATATCACTAACAGAACTTGTACTCAGTATTTGGTTATTATATATCAAGCTGTATTATTAGTTATTTATAACCGCACATAGATATAACCAGTAACCTTTAAGGTTCTTCATGACTATAATGCATATAATCTATATCACCAAAACACTTGATATGATATCACCATATTATCACTATTATCACTATATATATATATATACATATTATTATTATTACACGCACACACGCACACACACACACACATATATCTATACGTATATCATTAACATCGCCATCTTCTTGAAATCAACATATATCACTCTACTCATATTACACGATATCATCACTCAATATACTGTGGATGGTTCTGAAATCCTGCACCAGTTGGTAAATGGTTTATCCCCAGGAAAAACATTACAGTGTTTCATAGCTACCTAACAGTTGCCCACTTGACAGAAATGGATGGGAAAATTTATAGGGCAGCCCTATAATGCCCTATAGTTGATGGATTTTGATGGTAAAAACCCATGGGTTTCCGGTGTTCACCATTGGTCCAAGGAGGTGGTCACCATTGGTCCAGCCTTTGAGGGTCACAACAAGCGACTCGGTGAAGCCAGTTGTTAAGCAATCATTTAGCCCAGTACTAAAAGGAGATATAAGGTACAAGCCAGTTGTATGTGATAATATGTGATAACCCTCCAGTAAACTAAGCTAGCTATTGAAAATGGCCCATTTAGTTCGTTCATTTAGCTATTGACAATGGTGATGTTCCAGTTCGCAAAGTGTTAGTTTACCAGAGGGTACTGAAACTGGTAAAACTAACGTGACTGGAACATCCCCAAACCAATAAGGATCATCGCATCGAAATGGCCAATTTCGGGGACGCAGAATCCATTCCCCGTTCATATGAAACAGCCCCTATAGAAATGATCCCAAACGTAAAACCATGGTTTCTGGTGTGGTGTTTAATTAATATTGAAGGGATTGTTTGGTTTCGTGGGGTCATCATGTTTGATGGATGTTGATGGGGATACTGGTACAATGTAATGAAGCAACACTGATCTAATGAATATCATGGTTTCAAAACTGAAGGTCCTGGGTTTTGTAGTGGATTTCACTCTAATGAATGGGGATTGAAACTAAGCATTTTATGATTTTACCGGGATTGTTCGAACGTGCAGGATGGGCACCTAAAAGGCAAGTTACTGGGGACACTGATGTAAAACCATGAGATGTCGGGGTTGCCCGGGGTAACATGTTTTCAAACAAACCCGTATGTTGCGATTTTAGAGGTTCGAATGGGCTTTTCTTGCCAGAGAGTGTTCTATACTGAGGCATACTAAGACTTCCGCTGTTTGGTCTGGTTGGTCACAGTTTCATCGTGAATTTCTTGCATAGGCTGGTTGTTTTGGAGATATCAGTACAATGGCAGCGTCCAGGGCAGGTCTAGAGCCATCGGCTGCCGGTTGAGGTGGCAGAATGGCTTCGTTGGTCGTGATGGCAACGTGCAACTCGTGCCAGGATTTTTGGACACTTAGCCCTCTTAATATGAAGAGGAACTATCGGCCCCAACGTTAATGAGGCCCCCGACATCATGAGGTAAACCCAAACATATCCAAACATAGCCCATCCCCAATGGAGGTTTATGACTATATAAAATTATTGAAATTGAGTTTACCACATTATTCCGAAATGATACGCCAGGGCCAGTTGTGTCAAAGCCGCCCAGCGGGATGCCAAGGTATGCAATTCCTTGCAATGCCCCTGGTGTGTTGCAGATCATGTGCCATTCAGACGAGGTGAAGATGATACCCATTGATATGGCACCTTGGCCCCCAGAGGTGTTTGCCCATCCAGAGGTCCAGCCGAAGTCGGGAAGTCATGGAAGTTTCGTCCTCCACTGGGTTGGCCCGAGCTCATGAAGTGTCATGAATCTTTCGTGGTGTTTTTTTAGTCGGTGCCGCTCGACGCCGCTTGTGGAAGCTTGCCCCAGTAGATAGTGATACAGTAGTGCTAACAGCAACAGTGCCGTCGCTGGAAGGTTGGATCGTGCAATCCAGCACATGTCCATGTTCAACAAGACCTCCCCCCAAAGCATGGATTTAATTTTCTTTATGAAGCAGCCTCCCAGATTCACTTGCTATATGCATCTACATGCTTCACCCAAACCAACATAAACACTGCCAAATAGAGGGTTGGAAGACTACATTCCTGTCAAAAGTATTCAAAAGTAGTGATTCTCAAGGTCTATGTTAGTTACTTAGTTGGAAGGGTGGTGAGTTCAACATTTCTTGGGCCTTTCGGTTTGAATTTTGTGAAAACCGAAGAGGCAGGCCCCGTCCTGAGGAGAATCCTATGCTGCAGGACAAATGGGAAGGCGGTGTGGTGGCCAATGGTGTGATGTGACATGGCTGCAATGGCAACAGCGTATGACCCAACCAAAGTCCTCAATGGAATTGAGAGCCCCTTTTTTCATTTTACATCATTTTACTATAATGGAATCAGAGTCCACCGATTCATCCATGCTACTGTAAGACATCTGTAGACTGTTCAAGCAGAATCTTACGAGCGGAGGGGTGATGTTGCACCGACTTGTTGTCAGTGAAGCAATGGTTCCACAGCAACAGACAGTGACACATGGGTACCCCTAAATTGGATGCTTCACTATAGTTCATACCAAAAATGGCACAAATCATCCCAAATTTGCTGTCCTCTGTGTCCTAAACATGCCCAAACAGCAGACTGTGACCGCCCAAATCTCCATCTTCAGGTACTGCATGCCGCAGAATGCGAAGAGGGTCCTGAAGATCGCCCCGCAGTAGCCGCCAATTTCCAGCACAACCTCAAGGCCAAGCTCCAGCACCAGCATCGAACCCTGCAGGTCAATTGAGCGCCTCCCCGCCGCAGAAAAGAGCTGGAAAAAGCCGTTGAAAGCAGGTGGATCATTACAAGCCGGTATGGGGATGTATGGGGGACCCCCTTTAAACATCTACAAACTAAGCCAGTGTAATGGAATCATCCCAATCAAAAAAGGCATTGCTTAATTGAAAGATGTTTTTCCATTCTTTTTTCCATGGAATATGATTTTCCATCGCGGCAGATCATAGGACTACGTCCCAAGCAGAGTTGCTTTTGGTCACCTGGTTGTTCAAAGGTCTTGCTTCAGAATCAGAGCCGTGAACTGCGCGTGCTGGTCTCAGCCTGGGGAACCCAGTTGAGGCTGAAACACGGGGGCTGCGGGGGTGGATGTGAATCAGATGGGAAAGGCCGAATTCGAACCTCAAAGTTCCGCAGATTGGAAGTTACACTTAGGATTTGCAACACTTAAAGCGCAGGATCTTAAGGCCTGAAATGTTGCTGCAGAAAGGAAGTTGTAATTTTGTCCTCCAGCTGTAGATGCATGATTTCATCCTGCCGACTTTGTCACTGCCATGCTATGGGACTTGATGGACTTGATAGCAAGCTATGGCACCTCATCGGCTGTCAGGTTCTTACGCGAGAAAATGATGTGCTTCATATTCCACTTTTCTCTCATGTTTACGTACATGTGTAACACGCACACCCCGAGAAGATGGAGTTTCCTAAAATCCAACTATAAAATCGTAATAAATACCCCCCATTGGGGTACCTAAATAAAATGAGGGGGCAGGAGCTCCTTTTAAAGTAAAAAGATCAAAATAAAATGAAAATAAAATGGGTCAGACCCCAGTATTTTATTTTGTGGGTGCATTTTATTTTTTGAGGTGCCTAACCCATCAAGTTAACTGAGAGAGATAGCATCATAGCAAAGATGCACAGCTGCGCGTCTTTGTGATGGCTGCCATCCACTAGAAATTGGGGGCCCCTAAGGCACCCGCATGAGGATTGCTATTCTTACCCTTGGGCACCCCCATTTTTTTGTAGGATATATTCTGTACAGATCAGTTGGGTCTTGCCATTTTGAGCCCCGTCCGGCGTACAAAAATAAAATGGGGGGGCAGGAGCCCCTTTTAAAATAAAAAAAATAAAAATAAAATGAAAATAAAATGGGTTAGACCCCGGCATTTTATTTTGTGGGTGCATTTTGTTTTTTGAGGTGCCTAACCCATCAAGTTAACTTTTATTTTTTTGAGGTGCCTAACCCATCAAGTTAACTGACAGAGATAGCATGATAGCAAAGCTGCACAGCTGTGAACGGTCTGATCATTTTGTGAAACGTTCCAGAGATTTGTCAATGCTTTGTACCTGTGACTCTTCCACCAGGGCCTTTCACGTATGGTTTGAAGGGCGTTCTACGCTTGGCCCTTCTCTGTCGAAATTTATCCCTCATTTTTTTTGGCAAAGTCTTGGGAAACGTACTCAGCCCTGGAAGATCTCCAGCAAGATGCGTGGGTTTCTCCATCGGATGCCCCTTAGTCATGACTAAACCAGGGCAAAAAATATGGTCAAATTCATCCCAATCCAAGTAAACAGATTATCCTCCCCTAGAGTTCTGAACCAACCAAAATGGGACATTCAAATGGCACGTCATTTTCTTTTTGTACCTGTCCATTGTATTTTACTTGGGTTTTCCTATCTTACCTTATGCCCTCTCATTTTATTGGCATTTTTTCCTTAGGCCCCTCCATTTTATTTTATTTTTTTAGGGGTTCCACCCCCCCCCCTGGCAACAGACGAGGCTCATTTTGGGGGTTTTCGGGTTTTCCTTCAAAGATGGTTAAAACCAATCAAAGAAGGAAACAAGACAAAACAAGATCAACCCAAAAGAAAATGCCGGAGCCCGAGGTCCAACAGTTGCAAAATGTAGGTCCAACAGTGGCCAGGTGGAGGGTGCCTGACGTATTTTTTTTTTTTGTACCTGTCCATTGTGTTTTGCTTTGGTTTTCCTATCTTACCTTATGCCCTCTCATTTTATTGGCATTTTCTCCTTAGGCCCCTGCATTTTATTATATTTTTTTAGGGGTTCCACCCCCCCCCTGGCAACAGACGAGGGTAATAAATGAGTCATCTCTTCGGCATTTGTTGTTGGGAGTTTATATTGTATTCCCCATTGAATCCCATATATGTATTCCCTATTTTCTCCTACTACATCCCCACATCAAAGGTAGCCAAGATTTTCGGGCTTTGCGAGCAATTGGCTTGCAATGCACGCCCGACAACGAGAGAGATAGAGATTCCCCATTTTCCCACCGTTGTCCAATTTATATACACACGCACTTGACAGCTGTGTTCAAAACCCGGTTGGTTGATGACAAGCAAAGTTTTAAAAAGTAGGGGATTATTCTCACCAATATCACCAGGGAATGTCACAATCCATTAGGGGCAATCCGATAATCAACTAACCAATATAAAGGGACGACGTGGATTTCCGTGTTTAACGTGTCAGTTTTACATCATCAACCATCCCAAACATCACCATTTCTATGGGTGGTGTAACAATCATCTCCAAATGGTAGGTTGTTTTTTGGCCTTACCACATTAATCATCAATATTAATCATCCATTTCAGTAGGATTTTCTAGAATAAACCAGCAATTTTGGGGATCAAAACTTCGAATATGCTGAAATGAAACTGAGTTTAAACTTTCACCGCAAAGTTTTACCTGGAACTGTATTGTTAATTGAACTTGCCACCACCAGTGTCCAGGTCCAATCTTCCCTGGTGAGTGGGTCTTGCAATCAGTAGCCCTGAAGGATCTTGGAAATAGTTTTTGGGTCCCCGCTGTGAAATTGACTGCATCTTTAACCACCGCTGCCCTGTCGAGTCGTATCAAAAAATACATGTATTTTTGTCCCCCCCAATGGGGAAAAAGAGAAAACTGAGTATGCCATTTCGTCCTTAGTGGACACACAGATCGGCACTAGTGTATCCACCCTAAGACGATGCATTCGTATGCATTCGATCCCGCATTCGTCATCTTGCATCCGTGCATTTGACGGTCCCCGGGTGTGTCTCGTCGTCACCCCTGAATTTGTTGGGGGGGGACGATCCCAAACTCACTATTTTTCCTATAAAATGTGGTTCGCTCAGGCCCTGGCCGAGCCAATACGTCCGGCTGCGGCGGGCCCAGGAGTGGACGTGTGTTAATGATTAAGCATGGGGCGGACCAAGCAAAATGCCAAGTATAATGGCACTTATCATGGTAATTGGTGGTGATTATATTAACTACATTTCATCACCATTATATAATTAGATATGATTATCATATCTAATTATATAATGGTGATGAAATGTAGTTAACTCATGGTAATTGGTAATGGTATGTAGTTAACCAGGAAAATGGATGGTAATTAATGATGGTGATTGATGGTCAGCCATGGCGATACTGGGGAAAGTGATGATCAAGCACTGGGTCACCGCACTTTTGGACAAGCACATCTATGACTTTACCCTTGAGGTTCCTCAAGTGGGGGCAGGTCAAAACTTATCATTACTATAATTGAAGGAAACCACATCCATTAGCCAGTTATTTTAGGGTTTTGACCCATGACCAAGTCAAGAACAATTCCACATATAGTAAGATATGTAGCAGTGGAGAGAGAGAGAGAGAGAGAGAAGATACGCAGCACACTGGGGCTGAAGCCGACTTCAAGTCCAAGTCTGCGTTTCAGGTATCCATTACGCACGCTATAACGTACCCATACTGTTGCAAAGAAATCCGCCAGCACAACAAAAACAACATATTTTGCCAAGAGATAGCATCCCCGCAAATCTTGGTGGGTTGGAAAATCTGAAGGACCCCCGCTGCATTTGATGGTGAAAAGTCGTTTTTTTTCGGTTCAGATATTCCCTTTCAACGACTCCAATCCCTAGGCCGGACCCGCCGCAGATGGCTTTCTGCCCTCTTCTGGGCTGGTTCTCCGACGCGACAACGAGGCACCTTGGAGCTGTCCATATTTTTGTGCTGAGATTGGAAGATTTCTCTTCACTAACATTATTATATAGTGCTACATAGTGCCACATTCTAACCTACTGTAAGTGTTATTTAATAATACTTGATAAGTACTTGATATAACACTATAAGACTATAAGTACTTGATAATAGTTGAGATCACAATATTCACAACCGAATTTTCGCCAACATATATATAGAATTCATTAGAATTCGAGACAAGAATTTAGATATTTCAGTACTTGAATGCCACTACTGTGTGTGAACACTTCCTTTACAGTATGACGCTGTACCTACTATTAGTGCATTCAGCTGCATTCGTACGGGTATGGATCAAATTCATCAATTTGACCATACCGATGGCGCATATCCATGGGTTAATCACGTTCATAATCATGATATTCCCCCCAAAAAAACATGACATCATTCTTGGCATAGTGGTATGCCCATCTGTGGATCATTTGCATGAAAACATAAAGATCCAACAACTAGTTTTTTAATAATTTGTCCAGATTTATCCATTTGTTCATTACATAGTTCCTACACCATATGAGCAACGACCTATTTCCGATTCATGTACATGAGAAGTCATATGGTTGAAAATGTCTTGCAAACCAAGGAAAGCGATATCGTGAACAAACAAAACGATAACGGGATTTGATGAAGTTGAACAGTGTTGGTGTGAATCCAGGCGCTGAAAAAACAGGCTGAGATCGTGCTTGAGAAACCGTCCTGATTTTAATGTTTCCGGATTTTACCATATGCATACTGTATAGTATAATAAACCATGCCAATAATCATACTAATAATCTTATTGTCATTCACACACATATTTTCAGAATATATTCATTCATTTGGCATATAGTTGCCGATTCTTAATGTTTTAATCCATTCTTTTCTTCATCACATTGCCTAGAAAAAACGGGGGCGCCCAAAAGGCCTGGGTGGAGAACCTGGCGGAGGGATCGCGCAACTGGACGCAGCCAACAGTTTGGGGCTGGAAAATCCATTGGATCATGGGAAAATCATGGGAAAACCATGGGAAAATCAT